AAAAAAAAAAAAAAAAAAAAAATTGGGTAAATGATCTAAATAGATATTTCTCCAAAGAAGTGCAGTAGATGACAGATAAGAGCATGGAAAGATACTCAACATTATTAGTCATTAGGGAAATGCAAATCACAACCACAATGAAACATCCACAAGCATGGCTAGAATCAAAAACACAGACAAGTGTTGGCAAGGATGTGGAGAAATTGGAACCCCTCATACACAGGCTGATGGGTATGTAAAAAAAAAAAAAATGGTGCAGCTACTTTGGAAAACAGTCTGGCAGTTCTTAAAAATGTTAAAGTTTCCATACAACCCAATGATTCCACTCCTAGGTATATACTCAAGAGAACTGAAAATATAGGTTTACACAAAAACCTGTACACAAATTTCATAACAGCATTATTCAAAATAGCTAAAAAGTGGAAATAACCCAAATTTCCATCGGCTGATGAACAGATGAACAAAATGCAGTATATACATATGATGAAATATTATTCAGCCAAAAAGTAGTAAAGTACTGATGTCATACTTTTATCAATAAACCTTGAAAACATTGTGTTATATATAAGAAGACAGACAAAAAAGGTCATTTATACTTATAGGAAATGTCTAGAATAGGCAAATCCATAGAGACAGAAAGTTGATTATTTTTTTTTGAGTTGGGAGTCTCACTCTGTCACCGAGGCTGGAGTGCAGTGGCATGCTCACAGTCACCCCAGCGTCGACCTATTGGGCTCCACTGATCCTTCCACCTCAGTCTTCCAAGTAGCCAGAACTTCCATGCCCAGCTAATTTTTTATTTATCGTGGAGACAAGGTCTCGCCAAGTTTCCCGGGCGGGTCTTAAACCCATGGGCTCAGGCAATCCACTCACCTCAGCCTCCCTAAGTGCTGTGATTATACGCTGAGCCACCTAGCCCTGCCAGACAAAAAGTAGATTAATGATTGTTGCTGGAGGCAGAGATGAGAGGTGGCTGCTAACAGGTATTTACTTTTGGAGTGATGAAAACGTTCTGGAATCAGGCAGTTGTGCTGATGATGGTTGCACAACTCTGTAAATATACTAAAACCCCAAAATTGCAGGATATGAATTAATCTCTATTTAAAAAATAAAATAAAGTCAGTCAACTCTGGGAGTCCACCAAGGGAGAAAACTCCAGGAAGATAATCTAGGCAGCAGGTTTATACCCCATTCAGTCTTGCCTTGCGCTTGCCAGAGGGTAGAGGGGAAAAATGTCTCCAGCTCATCTAGGCGTTACATGTCATCTAAATAACACAACTGCTCAACAAGTGGCTAATGTAAGCTAATGTGACCCCAGGCCACACAGTAGAGCATACACACAGGAGAGAGGTGTCTTCTCTGGAGAAAAGTTCCCCAACTTCTCCAAGAGTCCACAAAGGTCTCTAAGGGAAAGTCTGGGCTGCTCAGAAAATGGTCTAATGTTCTCCAAGCAAGCCATTTCCCTGAGACCCATTGCTAAAACCAAATACTATATGTGGGTTTTTAAATCTCACCTGGTATAATACTTTTAGTGCCAATTTACAAATCAGTCCCCTTCGTATCTGAGTACTTCTCACACAAGTAAAGGAAGCTTTTATCATTTTTGCCTGAAGTTCATTGTGTTTCTCTTCATGAAACAGCACAACTTCATTGTGATTCTCGTCATGAGACAACAACCCCCTCTCGTCGCTGCCTTCAGCAACAATCATTAATCTACTTTCTGTCTGGCTGGGCTCGGCGGCCCAGTCTGTAATCCCAAATCCAGACTACAGCAAAGAAGGTGACATGAAAAGCCCTCCATGTCCATGCTGTCAGCCCTTTTCATCTACGCCCTCCCATATTAAAACATGAGCCGACGACGTGCCAGACAGTGAGGACAGGGCAGTCAAGAAACAGCCAGGAGAGGTGGTACACACTTGCAGCCCTAGCTACTTGGGAGGCTGAGGCAGGAGGATTGCCTGAGTCCAGGAATTCGAGGCCAGTCTGAGCAACATAGTGAGACCCTATCAACAACAATAACAACAAACCTGGCCTCAGCTTCGCTGCACTTACAAAATCTAAAACTCAAGGAAGGCAGGCTTCGAGCAAGTTATCCCAACAGGGAGGACATTACGAGTGTAACACTCGGAGACAGGTAGGCTGCTACGGGAGCATAAAGTCGAGGAGTAGGTGGGGTCCAAGAAAGCCGCCCTCTGCCCACCTGAGCAGGTGGTTAGGTTGAAACCTGGGGCAGGCAGGACAGCGGAGATGAGGAAAACAGTCTCCAGGCGGTGGACAGTGTTTGCAGCCCAGAAAGACAGAGAGCAAAGCTTGTTCCAAGAACCAAGCTTGTTCCAAGAACCGAAAGAAAAAGCTCTCTGAGGCGAGCCTGGAGGTAGAGATGGTGACCAGATGACAGCCTTGGAAGACCTCGGAGGGAGCCTGGGCTTCGATCTAAGGACAACGCGAAGCTGAGGATCAGACTGGAGGGCAGCAATGCCAGAGTCAGGGAACATCAACAGGAAGTTGGCTTAGCAATCCAGCAGAGCCGTGACAGTGACCCAGCCGGGCAGAGGCACAGGAGGCAGGCGCAGACGAGCTAAGAACTGCTCAGCAGGCAGGCCCAACAGGACTTATTATTTTGATACACAAAGTAAAGGAGAGGAGGAGATCAGGACGTTATACCGACTTCTGGCTGGAAAATGGTGGACAGCACTGTGAACTGACTGACAGAGGGACATATAGGGTAAGCAATACAGGGCAGGGGGGCAGGGAAGGTGGTGGCCTCAATGACCCTGGCCTGTAGCTGACGCTCTGGCTGCTATGACACCCACCACCCTACTCACCCTGGTCCTTTATCTGGGAGCTCCACCTCGGCCGACAGGGAGCTGTAGACGGGAATGCTGACATCATAGCCCTGTCGGTAAGTCCACGTGGAAAAGCCACCACCAGCCAACAGGGCCCTGAAAGCAAAGGATTATATCAGACGATGAGAAAGAAAGAAGGTCTTCATTCTCAGATGTTCTGTGGAAAGAGACAGGAATTACTGAGTCTTAATAATACTATCAACAACAGCTAATGCTTACCGAGTCACCTCTCTATAAGGACACTTGCGCTAACCTCTTTGCACTCACACATCTCCCGGACATCAGTTGCCTAGTATCCCTGAACCACCAGTCTCCCCCAGGGCCGTAATCAGTCATTCCTTACTTCCTGCTTCTTGAAACACATCTTAGCCCAGAGGACACCCTAAGGACAGCCCCTCTGCTACCTCATTCAGGTCCCATTCTCCCCTCCCAAGCAATGCTTTATTAAGCACATTTACAATAACAGGATGGCAACAGATCTGCATAGGACAACTAGCTGGGGCAGTCCTTTACCAACCCACTGGCTACAACCTCAGGAGACAACGGCCAGGGAAGCAGCGGTGGCCGGGAACTATCATGGCACACCCCCCACCTCTCTCCAATCCCTGCCCCAAGTGGCTCTTTCCACTGGTGTCCCTGAGCTGCATGTCAATCACAGAGCCCCTACCAGCTCTCCCTGTCCCTTCCAGCTACTCAGTCTTATTCACCCAATTCCCCACACAGGAAACAGAATCTGGAATCGGACTGTTAGCACTTCTCTTGCAGTTTGCTTGAACTAGCTTGTATTATCGTTAATTAGAAAACAGTGACCACATTATTTTAATTGGATCCAGCAAGTGGTCCAATGGCACTTCATCAGTGAAAGGAAGCAGGTACATATCACACCAACTTCTACCGTTACTTGGTCCCTAGGGTCCCAAGCCCATCGAAATCACTTTCTGGGGCAGAGTTTTGCCCGTTGCACAGTCTGCACGGTCTGAGCCAGAATGTCTGAACTGAGAAACCACAGTTTTTGCAACAGCAATTGCTACCAAATCCCCCCGCCCCCCGATGACAACCTACATTCCCTTCTAACATGACCAGTTTAACTTCAAAGATTTTCAAACCACCCCTGGAAATCCCACTTTGTTTGTTTAAGCTTTATGAAACCAAAAACTGGTGAGTGAGGTAATATGCAGGCTAAAAACCTCTCCAGCTGCCAGTCCGCTTTGTAAAATGTAACAACTATCCTCAGTACTGACATACGGTCTTATTTTTCCTGATTAGCATGCAGCACTGAATCCATACAACATGCATTTGGGCGGGTTCCACGGGCATGATGGCAAGCAGGCTCTGTGGGCCCCACGACCCGTGTGCAGAAAAGCAGGCATGGATCCAATCTCCAGGCATGAGGCAGGCCAGGTGAACAGGGCCGTGGGTGATTAGGCTATCACACCCCCCACCCCAGAGAAGGGAGTGTGTGTATGGAGAGAAAGGAAGCAGGTGGCTATCACATCAACTTGCGCTGTTGCTCTGGTACCCCTGGGGCCTCAAGCTTGCTACTCTCTTCTGGGGGCTGAGGGTGAGGTTCTGCAGTGGCGGGAAGAAAGCAGCAACCGGAAGCAGGCCTTATGTCGGGGATGATCCACGTGTGATCTCTGCTGTGATCTCAAAAGAACCATGGCTGCAATCAGGCAAGCTGGCCTCACACTGGCACTGCTACCAACAGGGCTTCAGCTTTAAGTCTCCACATCTCCTTCTGTTGAGGTTTCCGTTAAATGATCATGGAGAAAATAAAGCAAGCAGCCCTTGCGTTACAGAACACATGTTTTACACTGACCGAAAAGTGAATTTCTAAGCAACACATTCTGTTTTGGCATCATGTATCCCAAAATCAGAGATCTTTCCAAAGCTGTGAGAGACTGAACAGAAAACCTGCAGCTAAAGAAGTATTAATATTACAATCCCACGTGGGTCAAGCCAGGTATTACATCATGTGAGGTGTTCCCCAGCATTCCTGGCACTCTGCAGGACTTCCTGACTCCAGGCCACCACCCCGTCACCGAGTCTTCCTCCCCACAGCCTCAGAGGCCCCGCCATACGTTCTCCACTCAGCCCCAAGCTTCCCTGCGGTTCTTCCCCTCCGCCTGCCTGAGCGTTCGCCGTGCCCACACAGAAAAGCCGCACGTGCATCCTTTGCTTCCCTTAAACCACGCATGTCATCAGGCCTGAATATTCCTCAAATACAAAGCATCAGGTTCTGCAAAAAAACAGACAGAGCAAAGCTGTCCTAGTCTACTGGTCATCTTCATTAGTTCACTGAGTCAAACTGTAACACAGTATTTATGAGACAGGTAAATGTGCAATGGCTAGACGTGTGGTGAATATTTGGTGACATAAAAGAGTTACTGTCCATCTTCTTAGGTGTAATAGTCATATTATAGTTATGTTCTTTTTTTTTTTTTTGAGTTGAAGTCTCACTCTGTCGCCCAGACTGGAGTGCAGTGGCCGCTCCCGGCCACCGCAGCCTCGACCTGCTGGGCTCCGGCGATCCTTCCGCCTCAGCCTTCCAAGTGGCCGGAATTACAGGCATGCGCTACCACGCCCGGCTGATTTTTTGATTTATTGTAGAGATGAGGTCTCGCTGCCCAGGCGGGTCTCGAACCCGCGGGCTCAGGCAATCCACTCACCGCAGCCTCCCAAAGCGCGGGATTACAGGCTGAGCCACTGAGCCCAGCTGTTATGTTCTTTAAAAAGGCTGTATTGTGCAGAGACTTGCATGGAGATATTTACAGATGCGATGGCGTAACATCTGGGGCTTCTAGGTGACCTGACGGGGTGGGGGACAGGTCAGACCACAGACAAAGCAGAACTGGCCTGGAGCTGATGATGACTGAAGCAGGACAGTGGGCACATGGGGTGCACCACACTAGTCTCTCTGCTTTATCTAGGTTTGAAATTTTCCATAACAAGTCGAAATAAATAAATATCCACCCACACAAAAGTAGAAACTTGTAAGAGATTTGTGCAAAGAAAGGAAAATAAAAGTCCAAGGTGGTAACAGTGCTATTGAACTACCTGAGAAGAGAAGCATCGGTTACGTAAGGCACCAGAGAAGTACAATACGCTCCTGCTTAGGTTAAAATAAAATGGGCATGTATATGTATATGTATATGTGTTTGTGTATACATCCACAGGAAAAAAAGACTAGAAAAACACACAGTATGTTAACAGTAAGCATCCCTCTGGAAGGGAGTGAAAGCAGGAGGGGATGATGGAAGATTTTTTCATTTTACATTCTGACACTTGTACCTCATTCAACTCTTGTCCAAAGAATGTACAAACATACCATGTGTATGATTTTTAAAAGCTGAAAAAGAAATAAAAACAGATTTAAGTGGCACAAAAAACAAATTCACTGAGCAGACATTTCCCTTCAGTCCAGGTCTTTGCATTTCCTTGAGTAAAATAATTTTTAAGTAATCACACCTATGATTTTAGACTTCAGGAGATTTTAAAACAGTCTAATTTAGCCCATCTGTTTTCTAATTTCCAAACAATCTGACACACAGCTCCTGCTAAAACCATTCTACATGCATGGCTCTTGCCTCTTCTGAATCCAGGAGCAAGGACAAAGGATAAGAAAAATTAACAAACAAACCTACTATTCCTTACCCCAACCAGAAGGTCACGCAGTTTTCAAAAGGACATTTCCCACATGCGGAGATAAAGGAGGAATACACAGTGATTCATTACCTGCTGCAGGATTGCCTATAATCACTTACAAAAATCCATGCAGAGGAAAAACGATTTAGCTCTCGTGATCCTTAACACCTAAACACCAGCAAGAACTCAAACTTCTCCTGCCTATTCGACACCTTCCTGCTGAGAAATGAACCCCAGTTAACATGTGCACTTGATAAAAATAAAATCCATCTCCCATGCAGAAGCATATACCAAAATGTCAGCAAAAAGTGAAATGCCCCCACAGAAAGAAGCCCGTCTGAGAAGAAAGCCAGAATAGGAGGGAAGACACAGCATTCCTCACAGCTCTTCTCCTTTCCTTCTCTGTTCTCTGAAGTATTTTCCCTCCCCAGAACAACCAAATCCATAAAACAGTAGCTCACTGAGGCACAAGCACACCTTAGCAGGGACCAAGAGCCAAACTGGGGAAGGCCCTGTGTGCAGCGGTTTCCGTAGCATCTGCGTGGCCACACTGCCCTCTGTTGTCCAGAACGGTCTCTACACCCACACTGAGGGGTGACCCTGGGCATCTGTCTCTTATAGTGATAATTGTATTTCCAGATAGAAACTCAGAACCAACTCTAGATAATTGCTTAAAGCAAAGAAGGTTTAGATGTAATCATCTGGGGAAAGTGTAGATTTTCATAAATGTTGGCCTCTAACAAGCTGAGAACACAGCTGGCCTCAGGCTGATACTTTTTCCGGAAGAGTTAAACGCCAACTGTAATAAGACTGGTGATAAATGAGTTTGTACACAGACTCTTTTAACAATTCCATACCTCGAGTAGTGGCCAGGACCCTACCTTGGGCCCAAACTTCCTGCTTTCCTCAAAGCTTTGAACTAAGCGCTAAGAGAGGTCCCTTAGGTAGCACCTCATTCAGGGGCTTTCCAAGACACCTCTGGCCAAAGCAGTTCAGTCAGTGCATAAAATGGCAGATAAATACAGTATGGGAACTCAAAGACACAATCGTGCAGTCATGGCCATCCCATACCACATCTGCCTTTTTGACAGGTATTACTAGAAAGGAAGGAGAAAAGGGGCGGGGTGGGGGTGTGGGGGAGAGTAAGGAAGGAAGGCAGGCAGGGAGGGAGGGGCAGAAGGAAACGACCCGACTCATTGAAACAACAGAGTAATGGATCATCAGCGTGCCCTCATCCCCCGAGTTACAGGCTTCACGTGTCATTTTCGCATATCCGGGCCCTCTTCTCTCCATAAGCTGAGTCTACTTTTGGCAGATGCTTCCAAATTCGAAAGAAATAACACAAGCCAACAGCGAACCATGCCTTGGGGGCAGGGGTATTACACTCACAAATGCACAACTCAGGCTAAGAAAAGTTTCAGAGCTATGCTAGGAGATCAGCTAACTGGCTTTCCACCACAAATTTAAACAGGTCGTGGCACTTATATGTCTTAAGGAGGGAAACGCCTAGGACAATTTTCTAGTTTAATAAACAATTCTGATTGCAAAGTATGTCCCTGTGACTTAGGAATACAATTTCACATGAACAAAAGCATCTGGCATTCACTTGAACCTCAGGACAGCCCCACATATGCCTACCTGTCTCTGGGAACATCCAAGGCCGTGTTGTAATCTGGGGGACCTCCAGGCAACATGTTGAACAGCAGGTGATTTGAACCTCGATCCCACCTATCAGGAAATTAAACAGGTGGGAGAATTCACATATCAATACGAACAAGCAAGGGTCAGTTTCTGGATAACAGTAGCAAGTATCCCCAACCCCAAATAGAACCACTTCTCAGGTAAGCAAAAGAAAACTCCTGGAAATCCTAATAGTACAGCAGACACAAGTCTGGTTCCTTGAAAGAGAAAAATGGATGGGAGTGTACTTCAAGTTTGTCCACTACCAATTATTACAACTGTTTCCAATAATGAAAAACTGAAAACTATCTGAATGTTCACCAACTGGTTAAAGATACAAAAAATAAGTGAAATATAGAAGGTTAGCTAAATATATCATGGAATACTATGCAACCCTTAAAATTATACAGTAAAAAACTGACCGGGCGCCATGGCTCAGCCTGTAATTCCAGCACTTTGGAAAGCCAAGGCGAGTGGATTGCCTGAGTTCAGGAGTTCAAGACCAGACCGGACAGCTTGGCGAGACCTTGTCTCTACAATAAATCAAAAATTAGCCAGGTGTGGTAGCGTGTGCCTGTAGTTCTGGCTACTTGGAAGGCTGAGGAAGAAGGATCACCAGAGCCCAGCAGGTCGACACTGGGGTAGCTGTGAGTGTGTTACTGCACTCCAGCCTGGGCGACAGAGTGAGACTCCAACTCAAAAAAAACAAATTATATAGTAAAAAACCATGGAATTATTCAGAAATGCATTCATGATGTATTTCAGAGAAAGAAGCAACCAAAGAGCATGTATTGTACAATCCCATTCTTAACCAAAAAGTTTACACAGACGTGTGTATGTATATACATCATTATACAAAAATGACTGAAAAGTACCATCAAAATCTTAATAATGTTTATCTTGGAGGCAGAATTTCAGAAGGAATCTTACATTCACTTTCTTTCTACCTGTATTTTCAGACTTTTTACAGTGACCGTGTATTATGTAAGTGATAAATGGAGGGAGAGCTCATTCACATTTAAAAGAAAAAGTAAGGGAGGAAGAATCACCCTTAGTTTGTAAACTTTAAGAAGTCGGGAACCCATAGCAGTGGCACTGGAGAGGGCAGACTGCTCTTCACAAGTGTGCACAGGCCAGATGCACAAAACACGAGAGAGAGGCCTCGTGCCACAAGTCAATTGCTCACACACTCCCTATGAGAAGACAGACAGAATCTGGAAGCCAGCTCAAGAGGAGAAACATTCCCATCCTTCTTCCCTTTAGTTCCCTGAGGGGTCTCAGTTATCTCTTAGGGCCGGGCACAGTGGCTCATGCCTATAATCCTAGCAATTTGGGAGGCTGAGGGTGAGGACTGCTTGAGCCCAGAAGTTCAAGACCAGCATAGGCAACACAGCGAAACCTCGTCTCTATAAAAAAATTTTTATCAGAAGAAAATTTTTTTTAATTAGCCAGGTTAATTTAGTTCGAGTAGTCTCAGCTACTCAGGAGGCCAAGGAAGAATGGTCACCTGAGCCTAGGAGGTCGAGGCTGTGAGCCATGATTGTGCCACCAGCCTGGGTAACAAAGAAGACCCCGACTCATACGTATACATATACATATACATACACGCACGCACACACATACGCTCACATATACACATCTCTCGGGCGTTGGGCGGTAACGGTGTACGATACCTAGAAAGCTGGGCCAGTGCTTGCGCTGTCTCCTTGATGCGGAGTGTGTTCTGGTTAAGCACATCAATTGAAGGAACAAACAGGCAGGCCCGGCCGATGTCGTCAGTGTAGTAGTCACTGTCCGAGATGGCCGTGAGTAGCTCATTATACTCCCGGGAGATGGTGTTGCTGACCGGGACTCCGAAGTCATCCACATACTTTTTTAGAGAGTAGATGTACACCTTCATTTTGTTCTTTGGGCTGAAGCCGCAGCGGTAGACATCAAAACACGTGTGCATCCTGCAGCTGAGATCCCCCCGCTCGGGGACGGGACTGTCAGAGGGCAGTCTGGCCACTGGCACATCACGCACGCTGCGCTTCTCCACGTTCCAGTCACTCGAGGACTCGATGGAATGGGGCCAGAACTGAAACATGCCCGTGGCAATGAGGCCCAGGAGCACAATGGAGAAGAGGGTGATGTAGTAGATGCGGTGCTTGGTCTTCATTCTTGGGATGAGGGCAGGACCCCGGATGTTAGACTTGACCGACGCGCACATAATGACACAGACAGCCTCCTCCTCACACTCCTGGCCACCAGGGAGACAAACAAGAAAAACCAAGTGTTCAGGGCGGCAAATGACACTAATGAGGGCTGCTCAACTTTTAATATACCTATTCAATTTCCCTTAAGTGGTTTGATGAGCTACTAAAAGGGTATTTTTGACATTTCTTATAAACACACACAAATACATATTTGTACATATGAGTACACAGTATGTGATTCAAGGTATCTAATACTTAATGCCACATATGAATATTTAATATAAATACCAATACAAATATAAAACATGACTATGCCACTTAAAGCGTAAGATAGTAAATGCAAAGGTCTAGGAAGAAGGGCTCTGACCAAGAAAGAAAAAGAAAAGTACTATAGCTAAAGACATTCATTTCGTTTTCTTTTTTTTGTTTTTTGGATTTCTTTTTTGAGTTGGAGCCTCACTCCATTGCCCAGGCTGAAGTGTAGTGGCACACTTATGGCCATCCCAGTGTTGACCAGCTAGGCTCCGGTGATCCTCCCACCTCAGCCTTCCAAGCAGCTGGAAATACAGGCGCATGCTACCACACCTGGCTAATTTTTTTATGTATTGTGGAGATGAGGTCTCGCCAAGTTGCTCAGGCTGTTCTCAAACCTGTGGGTTCAGACAATCTCCTTACCTCGGCCTCCCAAAGTGCTGGGATTACAGGCCTGAGCTACTGCGCCTGGTCACTCACTTTGTTTTATTTTGGAACACTTGCCTAACATAAAATGATTTATCTGGATGAACGGATGTGTGGTTATTCTAAAGCTATTTTCATTCATTTGCTCATTCAAACCATCACTGAGCACCTAGTGCACACTGCGAAGGAAACAGAGCTGAAAGCAAAGACCTACTTAGAGGACCTGAATTCGACTGAGGGGGGAAAGGCAAAACCAGCAAAATGAAGAATGTAAAAGCACAACTAGAAAGGATTAAGATGGCTGATGAGAAGCAGCTAGAGTGTATTTCTCCCAGGGTGAACCAAAATAGTGAGAGTTCCTCAGAACCCAGAGAGGAAGGAGAACAGTAACACACCCACATCACACCAGAGAGGTAGTAAGACCCACAGAGCACAAAGAAGGGAAAGATCAACCAGCCTGGGCCAACTTGCCAGGCTCACCTGGATCACTGCATAAACCATGAGTGGCTTCTGGACACAGTAGGGGAGGTAAGTGAAAGGAATTCGGGAGCTCTGTGTTCCTGTATCAGACTTCGAAGGTCTCCTGAGCCTCACCGGAACCCAGTCCTTATGGGAAGCTGCCTTGCCCACAGCCGTGCTCTGCTGAAACCCACATGGAAGGTGCAGGGGAAAAAGCCCTGAGTGGCTCCAGCAGCCATTTTCCAGGAACTCAACCCTTGCTGATGGCTGCCTTCTAGCTGGCCTGGGAGAGCATGGGGAGGCCTGAAGCTTTTGTTTGCCCCCAAGGGCAAATTCCACTGCAGCAGACAGTTCCTTGCTGGGATGAGCTCTGTAAGAAGACCGGGCCTATGGTACTGGTACATCTGCAGACTACCTGAGACTAAACAGGCAGTCTAAGGAGTTGAGTGGAGCTCCTTCCCTTTCGCTTCCCATGTAAACCTTCTTGTAGCCTACACACAACACAGCAGCATTACCACAGTGGCCAGGGACTCCTTCCTAATCCCCTCTGGAGTAGCTGATAGTGCACAAGGGTGGGGAGCTTGAACACTTGCCTCCCCTAGCACCTGCCTCAAGGGCTCAAAACAAACAGAGAACTTGGGTAGTCCCCACAGCCCTGCCCATCACCTAGGTTGTCTGTGCACTTCCTTGGGGCAACAAGGCCAAGCAGAAAGCCCATAGCCACCATCGCAGTTGGTTTTCTCCTGTAAGCACAACCTCCTGGCCAGAGATCAAGAACACAGCCCATTGCATCTGACATAAAGCCTCAGCTTGAGGAAGGTCTGTTCCCAGACCCTAGCTAACACTACTATCCAAGTCACTGTACCCAGCACAGGACCACTACTGCTGGCAATTGAGAAACTCACCACACCAACGCTACATATAACCAAGGGAACCCCAAAGTGCCTACGGCAGTGCCCTGCCAATCTCAAATAAGAAGAAATTGTCTACCCAAATGAGAAGGAACCAGAAAAATAATCCTGACAATATGAAAAAACAGGACAAAAACACCCCCCAGAAGACCACACAACTTCTCAGCAAAGGATCCTAACCAAAATGGAAACTTTGAAATTCCAGAGATAGAATTCAAAAGGTTGACTATAAAACTGCTTAATGAGATCCAGGAGAAAATTGAAAACCAGCATAAAGAAATGTTTTTTAAAAAACTATTCAGAACATGAATGGAAAATTCTCCAAAGAGATAGACACCTTTGGGGGGAAAAAAAAAAACAAAAAACTAAGCTGAACTTCTGGAAATGAACAACTCATTTAAGGAAGTACAAAATGCGGTGGAAAATTTTAACAGTAGACTATAACAAGTAAAAGAAAGGATCTCAGAACTTGAAGACAAGGCTTTTGAATTAACCCAACCAGACAACAATAAAGAAAAGAGCTCCAGGCACGGTGGCTCATGCCTGTAACCCCAGTACTTTGGGAGGCCAAGGCAAGAGGACTGGTTGAGCCCAGGAGTTTGAGATCAGCCTAGGCAATATAGCAAGACCTCATTTCTACAAAAATTTTAAAATTAGCTAGGTGTAGTGGCACATACCTGTAGTCCTACCTACTTGGGAAGCTAAGGTGGAAGGATTGCCTGAGCCCAGGTGGTGAGGCTGCAGTAAGCTGTGATTGTGCAACTGCACTCCAACCTGGGTGACAGAGTGAGTCCCTAACTGAAAAAAAAAAAAAGAAAAAAATCAAGAAAATGAAATAAAGTCTCCAAGAAATGTGAGATTACATAAAACATACAAACCTAAGATTCATAGGTGATCCTGAGGAAGAAGAGAAAGCAATAGTTATGAAAACCTATTTGAGGGAATAATTGAGGAAAACTTCCCTGGCCTTGCCAGAGACTTAAACACATATACAAGAAGAACAAAGAACCCTTGGAAGACTCATTGCAAAAAGGTCATCCCCACAGGAATATAGTAATCAGGTTATGCAACATTAATGTAAAGCAAAGAATTTTAAGATCTGTGATACAAAAGCATTAAGTAACTTACAAAGGCAAATCTATCAGACTAACAGGAGACTTCTCAGCAGAAACACTATAAGCCAAAAGGGAATGGGGTCCCATCTTCAATCTCCTCAAACAGAACAATAGTTAGCTAAGGATTTTGTATCCCAGAAAACTACATTTCATAAATGAAGAAATAAAGTCTTTCTCAGACAAACAAACACTGAAGCGATTTGTCACCACTAGTCCAGCTCTACAAGAAATACACAAATGAGTTCTAAATATTGAAACAAAAGGTCTAATCACACCACTAGGAAAACACTGGAAATCATAAAGCTCACAGGGCTTACAGAACACCAACAAAATAGAGGGGAAAAAAAGCAACCAAGTAACAACCAACATGATGAATGGAATAGTACCTTACATATCATTATTGACCCTGAACATAAATGGTCTCAATGCCCCCACTTAAAAGATATAAATTGACAGAATGATAAAAAAGCACAATCCAAATACCTGCTGCCTTTAAGAGAGCCACTTAACACACAAAGACTCCTATAGACTCAAGGTAAAAGGGTGGGAAAAATATTCTATGCAAATGGAAACCAAAAAAGAGCAGGCATAACTGTTCTTATAGCAGATAAAATAGATTCTAACAACAATGAAAAAGGCAAAGAAGGTTATTGTATAATGATAAAGGGATGAAGCCAACGAGAAGATACAACAATTTTCTTTTTTTAGTTGGAGTCTCACTCTGTTGCCCAGACTAGAGTGCAGTGGCACACTCCCGGCCACCGCAGCCTCAACCTGCTGGGCTCCGGTGATCCTTCCGCC